TCCCAAAACCCGAAATATCGTAAGTCACAAATTACAGAAAGAAAACAGTATTTCTACATTCCAGAGTCTAAACAAAGGAAAATATAAGAAGTGTTTGACATGGGAAAGAGCAGAAAGGGACTCCGTAGTCTGCGGACGCGGCAGATATACCTTGAAGTCTCTAAAGCCATCTCGCCTCACTGATAATGCGGCTGATAAGTGGTATCTAGATCTGCACATGAAAAAAATATGCAGGGAAGGGCATGAGTACAGCACAACGGTACCCAGTAAATGCCAAGCTTAACCTAGGTCAAGTAGGGACGAGACCAGGTTAGGGCCCTACTGGTATATATATAATATAACAAGATAGAACTAAATACCATAGTAAAATAAAAACTGAAATTAAACAGGAATGAAATCATAGAAGACAACAACTTTGTACACAGAGATAATAACATGGGATCTCCCGGGATACCGTCTCGTAGTCCCAAATGTAAATATGCAGGGGGATCTCCCGGAATACCGTTCTGTAGTCCCAAAATAAATATGCAAGATAGGGGGATCTCCCGAAATACTGTTCCATGGTCCCAAAGTAAATATGCAGTACATGGGGATCTCCCGGAATACCGTTTCGTGGTCCTAAAGTAAATATATAGTTCAATAATAGAAATATGACCACAACACGAAATCCTACAATTTAGACTAAGTCCAAGTTAAGGAAGAAGCAGGAAATTCACTAAGCATGTTGCACAAAGTTCAGATAAGCAATTAAGACACGTAGACTTGTTGTTCTAAACTAAACAGGATAATTACATATGCTAGTGTAGCTCAGAAAAAGGGAAACACGTATTTTACTTAATGAAAACGGAGTTTTGCAACAAATAACTCGTGTACGCACTCGTCACCTCATGTACACAGCGTTCAATCAAAAATAGTACCAAATTCTAAGGGGAGTTCTCCTACACAAGGTTAGGAAAGCCACTTACCTCGAACCAAGATCAATCAATCAGTTACCACACCTTTCCCACGAATATCTAGTTTCGAATGGCCCAAATCTAGCCAAAATCAATTACATAACATAATATAACTACAAGAAACCAATCTAGCTAATGAAATCAAAGCTAACGCAAGAAATTGGAAAATCACCCAAAGCCTCCTCGGGCCCACACCTCGAGATCAAGTAAAAGTCATAAAATACGAACACTCATTCACTCACGAGTTTGACCATACCAAATTTACTTAAATACGATACCAAAATCTTGATCAAAACCCCAAAATTTGGTCTAAGAACTTTTCTCAAATTTTCCCCAATTTCTCACTCAAATTCCTTAATTAAATGATGAAATCAACTATCGATTAATGGAATACAACCAAAATATGAGTTAGGAATCATTACCCAATAGCTTCCTCTAAAAATCCTTCAATTTATCGCCTAAATCCGAGCTCTCAAGATCAAATGGTGAAAAATGACATAAACCCACAAAATCCTCTCTTTTCTTCCCAGCAAACTCGCTTCTACGAGGCTTCAACCGCACATGCGGGAAAATATCGCAGGTGTGAAAGTCACATATGAAGGTTGGGTCTGCATCTACGGCAATAGGGTAACACCTGCGGATACTTGTCCGTTTCTGTGGTCCTTCGCTGCATTAACGATTACTCTCTCTCATTTGCGGGCATCGCAGATGCGAAACTAACCTCGCACCTGCGATCCCAGCCTGGGCTGCCCAAATCCGCTTCTGCGCTTGCTTCTCCGCATATGTAAGCCCTCGCCTGTGGTGTCCCCACTGCAGGTGCAAAAACACTAGATGTCTAAAACTTCAACAATGACCTAAGTCCAAATTTCAACCCGTTGAGCGTTCGAAACTCGCTCGAGGTCCCCGGAACCTCAACAAAATATACCAACAAGTCCAAAAATACCATACGAACTTATTCGAGCCCTTAAATCACATCAAACAATGCTAGAATCACGAATCACCCTCCAATTCAAACTTAAAGAACTGAAACTTTCAAACTTCTATAATTGATGCTGAAACCTATCAAACCACGTCCGAAAGACCTCAATTTTTGCACACAAGTCATATTTAACATTGTGGACCTACTCCAATTTCGGGAATCGGATGCTAACTCTGATATCAAAAATTTCACTAACGGTCCAAATCTCCAAAAAATTCGACCTTCGTCATTTCAAGCCTAAATGAGCTACGAACCTCTAAAACACAATTTGTACATTCCCCTAAGCTTAAAAATCACCCAACGGAGCTAACAGAATCGACGAAACTCCATTCCGGAGTCGCCTTTATATAGTTTTGACTACGGTCCAAATTTCAAGACTTAAGCCTCCGTTTAGGGACTATGTGTCCCAAAACACTCCAAAAACCAAAACAATCCCCCCACCCCACCACCACCACCACCACCACTACCCCGGCAAGTCAAATAAGTAGAAAAAGATATGGGGGAATAAGTTAATAGGGGATCAGAGCTATATCTCTCAAAACGACCGGCCAAGTCATTATACTTTGTTTAAAGAAATCTTATATTTTTGTTTTAATATTTTTGTGCATCTTTTTTATATTAAATCTCTTTAAACTCAGAAAATAACTAAATACTACAAAACTTCAGCATTTTTAGTATGAAGTTTTAAGAAATGAACAAAAAAAACTTCATGATGGATAAGTTATATACACAGTTGTTGCAAAAACAAAGATTGTAGAGAAGTTTTAGGAAATGAAGTTTTTGAAAAATAACCTCCAAATATTACATACTGTATGTTGTAGACTTAAAGATAAAAATTTAAGCATGTTTGGTCAGAAGTTTAGACAAATGTACTAAAAAACTTCAGCATATTATAGACTGCTCGACAAAATTTCAGCAAGTATTGGTATGAAATTTAATAAAATGTACTAAATAAGTTCAGCATCCATTAACATGAAGTTTTAGCTTTAACATGTGGCATGAAGTTTTAGCTTTAATGTAATTTTAGCTAAATTTTAATTCGTGTTAATGTAGTTTCGTTTTAATCTTTTTGTGTTTTAATTTTTTTTATATTAATTCTCTTCAAATAACAAAAGGAAAAACATAATTTTTCCTTCAGCATATTTCTACAAAACGGCAGCATTGTTGGTATGAAGTTTTAGCAAATGAACTAAATAACTTCAGCATGCATTAACAAAAATTCACTGGAAAATAACATACTACAAGACAAATACTTCAGCATTTTAGTGCTGAAGTCTTAGAAAATGAACTAAAAAACTTCAGCTTGTTTAGACTGCAAGACTTCAGCATGTTTTAGTATGAAGTTTTAGCAAATGAACTAAATAACTACATCATGCATTAGCAAAATATTTTTATAAAATTACAAAATGAAGGGATAAAAACTTCAACATGTTTGTCCTGAAGATTTAGTAATAACTGAAAAACTTCAGCTAGGTTAGACTGAAGTTTCAGAAAAAGATCATGACAAAACTGTTGAATGCAGGACAAAACTTCAGCATGTTTGGGTTTGAAGTTTTAGCAAATGAACTAATTAACTTCAGCATCCAATAGCATAAATTTTTAGCTTCAACGTGAAATAACTTCACGCTAAATTAGGTTTAACGTGAACAATCTTCATGCTACAGTAGCATGAAATTTTAGCTTGTATTTGATTAAAACTTTAGAATTTAACGTGAAACAACTTTATTCTATATCTTTCATGCAAAGTTTTTGAAGATCTATAATTGGAAACTTCATGTTTCATCCGTCAAACAACTTCATGCAAGTGTGATTAAATTAGCATAAGTGAAAAAATCTATATGCGTTGATAGAATTAAAACTTAAAAAGCATGATGAATTACAAAAATAATTGCAGACACATATATCATGAAGATCAATCAGTTTCAAAAACTAATTTAAATTCTGAAGATGAATTGCAATACTTACAATGTATTTTGTAATTTTGAATTCGAAATTTGAATCTAGTTCAACTTTCTCGTTATGACAGAGATCGTGATTATGGCAGATGTGAGAGGAGATCTGAGGAGGGACGGAGTGATGGAGGAGAACGGTAAAGCGATTAACGTGTGATGCATTTTTTATATCTTTTGCCAGGGGTATAATAGTCATATTATTACGGCTATTTTATCAGCTGGCTATCAAATCAATAATATTTAAAATAGGGTACAAGTTAAAAGATGGTACAAATATATGATACGGTTGCAAATTGGGCTAATGTTCCTGGGGAAGTGCACAAATAGTCGCTTTAGCACCGCTATTTAAAGAATAGCCGAAGTTTACAAAAAGTTTAACCATCTGTTCAAATTTCAATAACCTAACTTTATACAATAATAGCAACAATAACTTACCTAGTGAAATCCCATACATCAAATGCAGTTCAAACTTTGGGTCTGAAGTTGATCTTAGTAGAGCCTAAGTTCTCCATGTTAAATCTTATTTTGTTCAAATTCTATTCAATTATTAAAAAGTGATTACATTTTTAATAATTTTTAGAAGTTAGTTATGTTTTAAACATTTTTATCACAAGCGACTACTTGGTGTTATTTCTATTTTTTTAATGTTATATTTTGCAAGTTAAGACAAAGGAGCAAAGTGAATAAATTGTTGTTTTCAGGACCCCTATTTTAAAGAATAGCTCAAATTTAAAAGTAAAACACCTCATAATCAAATTTCACATCATGGGGGTTAAAGTTTCGAACTTCAATCATCTGTCACAACCTAACCAACAAATGTGTAAAACAAGAATCCAAAAATATGCATAGTTATAGCTTAATTGAAACCAGTTTTGAGAAATATATACTCCATTTATCACTTTACACAAATAGTATTTGACTAAGCACAACATTTAAATAAATAATTTTGAAACGTGTAGTTTTAACCATGAGATTTATGTAGCTATAAGAAAAAAAAAAAAAGAACATTTAATATTCAATTAATATAATAAATTGATTAATATTAAAATAGTGACACATAAAGGGAAATGGAAAAATAAACTTTGTAATTTAAAATAAATAATTCATGTTTAGCACATGAATTAAAGTTTCCGGAACCAAACCGTCAAACATTCTCTTGCCAACTTGTGTCCCATTGATCATCAGTTTCAGTTAGCTCCCCTTAAGGTAACTCTATTCAATCATCAGTACTATTCAATAATCAGTAATAAATCAGAACAAAGAATCATTTGCGCTTTGCTCTGGTTTCATTTGTTGGTTTTTTTCGCTATTTGGTTTAATTATCAGATGGAATCGAAAGATAGAGTTGGAGAAATAGACCGGTTAGAGAGGGGTTTGTTAGTGGAGCATGTCTCAGAAGAAGAATCCGAAGAAGAAGTTGTTTATACGGCGTCGTTTGAAGAAGCTGAAGATTATTTCGTAAAATATCAAACAGCTCGATGGGTATTGTATTCGTTCTTGCTAATATTAGCATGGGGAATAGGGCTAATCATGTTGCTTTACTTGCCCCTTCGGAGGTATATTTTGCGCAAAGATATCCGCTCCAGAAAACTTTATCTCACTCCCAATGCCATTGTTTACAAAGTAGAGTAACTCCTTTTTCCCCCAAAATTCTTTTTTCTTTTACTATTTACTGCCTCGTTCTTAATTTATCTGATGATGTTTAATTGTGCATGGAGTTTTACAGCTTGTTTGAGTGGTTGTTACCTATTGTATCCTATCGTATTATTTGTTTTGATCGTTACTTAAATTTTATTGTATCGTATCATTAAGTCTGTCATTACGTAACGATGAAAAGTGTCGCTTTGTGCAATGACAGATTTGGTGTGATGGCGACGTTACCTTGGTTTTTACTCTCATCTTGTCCTTCCTTATTATTAAATAATCATATTTTATCATTTATTCTACTTTTTATATAATATTTCTACTTCGTATCTTATTTTTTTCTTAGTAATATTGCAAGTCTATTCTTCATATTGTTGGCGTGTGACATCATGAAATGAAGGCAAATGATACAATCTATCCAAACGTTGTATTCGTCAAATAATACAATAAAATACGATACATTATGAAATGACATGTAACAATCATCCAAACAAGCTCTTAAGAAAGAAAGAAACCCTTTTATTTGTGTGATCATTGAGGGTAAATTGGGAAGGTTAAAGTTATATTGTTTCTAAATATAGAAAGTTGTCATTTTTTTGGGACATACTTAAAAAGAAATACCTCACATAAATTGGGATGGAGAAAGTACTTGTTTTGCTTCTTTGACCGTGTACCATATTGATGTGTGCATGTTAATGTATAAAAAAGATAATTTTTTTGTACACCCTTATTTAATCCATTTGTGCTAACTTGCAATCTTCAGTTTTTGTGATCTTGGGCAGTTTGATTAATTAGCTTGATATTATGCTATTATGTACCATGAATGCAAATGTGACTTTTACTTGAATTGCATATAGTAAGATTTTCTGCATCTGGTATAGGTGACAAAACCAGTTCCATTTCCATGTTTTGGGGATTTGAAGAAGGAGAAATATGTTTTATTGCCATCAGTTGCTGACATTATTGTTGAACAAGGTAAAAGTGACTTTCTTACTCTGCTGATTCTGCTGTTGGTATATGTGGTCTATTGCCAAGTTGACGTCTTTTTGAATTTTCTAGTTGAGATGGCATCCCCCAAGAGAAATTTTTAGATGGATATTATTTATTTATATATGTTCCCAAATGAACTTGGATGTGTTTACCTTTTATTGATGACTAATATTTCTTAGCCCAAGAGTGTTCAAGTTACCCATGCATGAAAAAGGAGAATATTTCAGGTTCTCATTTCATGGATTCGTTGAAGTTCCTTTTTGATCCTTACCACATGAAGTGACCCAAATGCACCTGACTTTCTCCTAAAATAAGTCATAGTAGCTAATACGACGTGGGCCTTCTAGATGCTCCTGGATGTGAATCTTGTGACAAATTTTTAAACTTGACTGGGAGGATACAAGAGAATTTTAATAACTGGCTGGAGCTTTTTGACTCGACCTACAATGTGGTACTTAAAAGAAGTGGAAAAAGAACCCTTACCACAATCGTCTAGTCGTGACATTCAATAATGGTTAGTATTGAATATCGATCTTTTGCTTAATCTCCTATGGATCTGATAAAAAATTAAGGATCAAAAGTACAAGTAACAGACCAAATGGAATGCTTCTTTCTTTTCGAAAGAACGGAAAGTGACAACAAAAATTAAGGACAGGAAATTCATCTTTTGGTTAAAGCTTCACCATAATCTTTCTCTGTTATTTGGTCAACCAGTACTTCATCAGGTGCATAAAAGCTCTACTGCTTGGAGGCATTTCTTTCTGGATAACTTCTTGTGGATTATCATATCAAAAGTCTGCAAATACAGATAACAAACACTTGCAGAAATGCACTTCTGTGATATCTTTCAGTTTTAGGCTTGGTACAACCAAAACTTGAGACTTCTGAATTGATGTAATTGCCAGGTTACTTACAGTCCCTGTGTGGGGTATATTCTGTAAGAATTGAAAATGTTGGTGTGAGAAGGTCCCCGAGTGATGATCTCCAAATCCAAGGAATTGCAGATCCTCTTGATTTCAGGAAGGTATGCTTTACCTCTAGTTATTAACTTCTTGTTAATATTATTTTCTCTTGGAGAGATACTAATAATTCCTCCTTAAGTGAGCTTGCTATAGGTTTGAGAATTGTGCCGTGAATCTAAGATATATGTTGACTTGTGAACCAATGATTCGTTTTCTAGGCTGTTCTAATGCGACTATCAAATCTTAGAAGTGAAGCATTCTCTAGACAAGCTTCAGCTGTTGATGATACTTCGAATTTGAGAATCGGTTATTCCTCTGCTGCTTCGGTATGTTGTGACTAGAGCAAGTCTTTTGTGTTTCTCGATCTCTTTTCTGCATTTCCAATAGCAAATTCTTGGTCTCATTTTTGTGATTGGCAGATGTCCCCATCGAGATCCATCAGACCTGATTCTATATCTCATTCGGGAGACCTTGCTGTATTACAGAAGCTGGAAGAAGTTGGGAGTTCCGTTAAGGTAAAAACAATACAACTTCCCCTAAATCAACATGAGTGTCTTCTGCTATCTAGTAATGCATGGGATTTTGTTCAGAGGGTTCAAAATCTGATTGAAGAACACCACTTTCAAACACCAGAACATCTGGCTTAAGGTAAGCGCGTGTACACAGGAAAGTCATATAATTCAGCGGCCAACTCTGTTCATTACTTTCGATGGTTATATCACTTTGTTATTAACTGCACAGGCGCATTTGTTCATTCCAGATGCTTGGCAAATGAGTTAGGATGTTTCTCTAGGAAAACTACAATTTCAGATGCTTTTTACTATGTGGGGTTTGCTTCCTCATTCCGTAGCAAATTTTGTTTGCTCAGAGTAGCTTTTTTGGAAGAAGAATTAGGTTGTCTCTAGTCAACATAGGTAACTCATTCAATTAACTGTCTCATCTAGAGTTTAAAAAATCATTTTGCTGTGTTTATTGTGGAGATATCTGCTGCAATAAATTACATCTCATTCGTACTTGAATACTTCTTTCAGACACTGCTACTCCCCATACATATAGACTGACTTTTGGAGTAATTGGCAAAGCATTATTGTGGTATTCAATCACCCAGTGATAGTGATGGCGATGGAGACAATTCAAAATAATTTGGTTAGTGCAATTTAATGCATTATGAGTCTTCATAGGATGACCCCATCAATGCAATAGTAGGTAGATTCATCAATGTGCATTAGATTTGGAGGTCATTCCCGGAGTCCGAAACTGAAATGATGTCTTTTTGGGCATAAAATACGTTTATACACTTAAAAAAAAGTTACATTTTTACCTAAAACAACAATTTGGGCCCACTAAATATGTTCTGCAGGACTGACATTTGTTTGTTAGTGTAAAACGTATTATAATACTATGTTTTACTTAAACGTAATATTATACTGCGTTTTACACTAACTTTTGGGCCCACCAATAAGTGTTCCGCGGATAACTGACATAACAATAATTCAAAAAGTCCGAAACTGAAATGACGTATTTTTGTACTTAAAATACGTTTATACTGCGTTTTACTTTAACGGAAAGTTAGCCATTAAAGTAAAATACAGTATTATACTGCATTTTACTAAAAAATTAATTTTTTTATAGGAAAACGCTATATAGTATTACGTTTAAGGAAAACGTAGTATTATACTGTGTTTTCCTTTAATAAAATATAACCCCTCCTTCTTCCCCACGACAGATCTTCCATTTTTTTTAAAAAAAAAACCCCTCCCCCACCATTCTGCTGGTCCCCCCGAATTGGGCCCCACCCGTCACACAAAAAGTGAAGAGCGTAGGTCCCGCATACAACCCAAGCCTTGGATTCCTTCTTTCGGGGTCAAAATTTCAAATTTCCGATATTTCAAAAAATATAAATCGAGGTATTTCGATTTAGTTTATGTCGAAACTCGTAGAGCATATGCATATTTGTTTTCTTGAATGTGTTTCCACGTTGATTTATGTTATGTTTGCGATTAAATTTGTATGTTATTTTCACCCGGATTAAATTATTAGTGTATTAAAAAAATAGTTAAAACTTGAGAAATTGTTTTTATTGTTAATGAAATTATTCACAAATATATTTTACTGTTTTATATGTAATTTCGTGAATGTTATGTTCATATGTTTGTTGTTTTTATTTAGTTTAAATTATTTATTTGCTTAAAGAATAGTGGCCTTTTAGCGTAGTAAAATATAGAGCTTTTTAGCGTAGTAAAATATAGAGTCTTTTAGCATAGTAAAATATAGAGCATTTTAGCGTAGAGTCTCTGTAGTTTAAGTATGTAATAACTACAAACTCTATCCAATTACACTTTATAAAATTAATTATTTAATTTATAAAATAAACTTACAGAACTAACAAATTAATATATGTTGTCAAACTAAATATCGAGCGTGGAAATCATAGTTGTATACCCTGTCCAATTAAAAATTAATTATTTAATTTATAAACTAACAAAATTCTAAAAATATTGAAATTGACACACAAAAGAATTAAGGATAGTTTGGTGCTACTGGGCCTCAAATATCTAGCCTGGAACCCATATCTAATTACTCTGTCCAATTAAAAATTAATTATTTAATTTATCAAACTAACAAAAATTTAAACTTATTGAAATTGACACACATAATAATTAAGGATAGCTCGGTGCTATTGGGCCTCAAATATCGAGCCTGGAACCCATAGATAATTACTCTGTCCAATTATAAAATTAATTATTTAATTTATTAAACTAACAAAATTTTAAACTTATTGAAATTGACACATATAATAATTAAGGATAGCTTGATGCTACTGGGCCTCAAATATCGAGGCTGGAACCCATAGATAATTACTCTGTCCAATTCTAATTAATTATTTAATTTATTATAACACACAATTTTAAAAATATTGAAATTGACACACATAATAATTAGGGAGAAGTGTACGGTTAGCCACTAATAATACACGTATTTACTTTTAAGCCATTGTTTAAAATGTCTTTAGCCTTTAGCCACTGCTTTAATAAATTTTAACTGCCCGGACAAAAATACTCTTCTGCTCATGTCCTTAACTTTTATACTTAACTTCAGGACTATATGTCATTAACTTTTGACTTGGAACTCTAAGTTCAGGACTTCAGGACTACATGTCCTTAACTTTTGAACTTAACTTCAGGACTACATGTCCTTAACTTTGAACTTGTAACTCTAAGTTCAGGACTACATGTCCTTAACTTTTGAACTTAACTTCAGGACTACATGTCCTTAACTTTGAACTTGTAACTCTAAGTTCAGGACTACATGTCCTTAACTTTTGAACTTGGAACTTAAACTTCAGGACCAAATCTCCTTAACTTTTGAACTTGTAAGTCAAAGTTAAGGACCTATTGGGTGTGTTTGGTATGAAGTTTTCAATTTTTTCCATGTTTGGTTGGCTAAAATGTTTTGGAAAACATTTTCCTTATCAATTCATTTTCCTCCAATTGGAGGAAAATGTTTTCCTTATCAAGAGAAGGAAAACATTTTCCAAAGCTCCTTCTCAACCTTCCCAACTCTCACCAACCCACCCCACCCCCTCTCCAAAAAAGTTTTTTTTTNGGTACCAAACACCGGAAAATGAATAAGATTACTATTTATTTTCCAAGAAAACATTTTCCGTTATACCAAACACACCCATTGTCCTTAACTTTTAAACTTGTAACTGTAAGTTAAGGACTGTATGTCCTTAACTTTTGAACTTGGAAGTCAAAGTTAAGGACCTATTGTCCTTAACTTTTGAACTTGTAATTGTAGGTTAAGGACTGTCTATCCTTAACTTTTGAACTTGTAACTATAAGTTAAGGACTGTCTGTCCTTAACTTTAGAACTTGTAACTGTAAGTTAAGGACTGTCTGTCCTTAACTTTTGAACTTGTGTCCTTAACTATTGAACTTAACTTCAGGACTTCAGGATTACATGTCTTTAACTTTTGAACTTGCAACTCTAAGTTCAGGACTTCAGGACTATATGTCCTTAACTTTTGAATTTAACTTTAGGACTTCAGGACTATATGTCTTTAACACAAGTATCTTTGTCCTCAATTTTTTGGCTTTTTACCATATTTTTCCTTATCTGTTGTTTAAGAAAATCTAAAAGTCATTTTTTTAGAAAACCAAAAGTCACGTCCTTCCACGTCTGTGATTATTATGAGTGAATGGTTTACCAGGCAATTCAACTCCTGAAAGCAGACACAAAAGAAAATGAGAGGCTTATAAAATTTACATGATTAATGCATTTCGTTTCTTCTATTCAAAATTGGATTTCATATATGAAAATAATGGAAACACTCATACGGACCCTAGATTGCCATTGCAAAAGGAGAAGTGGAGCTGTAAGGAATGAATCTGAAAATGGCGTATTTCCGTTTGGGAAGGAAAGGGTAATACTACCTTTTCATATTAATTTTAATAGACTAGTGGCTACTTTTGTTCAGCATTAAAAATGATTGATAAAAAGTAAATACCACTTTAAAAAGTGGCTACCTCACACAATTTTTACTAATAATTAAGGATAGCTTGGTGCTACTAGGCCTCAAATATCGAGCCTGGAACCCATAGATAATTACTCTGTCCAATTATAAAATTAATTTATTAAACTAACAAAATTTTAAACTTATTGAAATTGACACACATAAAAATTAAGGATAGCTTGGTGTTACTGGGCCTCAAATATCGAGCCTAGAACCCATAGATAATTATTCTATCTAATTATAAAATTAATTATTTAATTTATTATAACAAAAACACATAATTAATATTGTTTAAATTGTAGTAGACGACATGGACTTGCCGCCTGTGCATCCTGGACCAGCTGCGGATCAGATATTAGTGTTACAAGGCGACCATAGGTCCGCCTATGTATGGGAGGGACATGTATTGGATCAAACTCTCCGCGCCAGGAGACCGGACGACTTGTGGGACTTTTTGAGGGGGAGAGCTTTCCATGCCTGCGTAGTCCATTGCCTGCGTGCTACGGGCTTCCTTAAGATTTTTGAGATTGGGCGGATGCAGCTCGACTGGTCTCTCATCACGGAGTTGATAGAGTGGTGGCGACCAGAGACGCACATTTTTCACCTGCCCACTGGAGAGGTCACCATCACGCTTCAGGATGTTCAGGCTTTGTATGGGTTGCGTGTTGATAGACTGGCCGTTGCACTGCCCCAATATATGAGAGCTATGATGCATCCCCAGTATTTGGATTTGCTGGGGCAGTATACTGGTTTCAGACCACAGGGTGAGGCTGCAGTTAGAGGGGGCAGTCGCATTTCTGTAACAGCTATCAGACAACATATGGAGGTATTGCACCCCGACATTACCGACGAGACAGAGGATCTCCATATTGACCGGTACACGAGGTTGGCGTTGTTCCTTCTTTTTGGGGGTGTCTTGTTCCCGAACACTTCGGGAAATCTAGTGAGTCTGCGCTTTCTGCATCATCTGCATCAGCTAGATGAGTTACCCCAGTACAGCTAGGGTGTTGCTGTTCTAGCATACCTGTACAGGAGTATGTGCCGAGCGAGCAAGGGCACCCAGGTGGACATATGTGGTTTTCTGTCGCTTCTACAGGTGACAACATTTTCGAATACTCTGTTCATTACTCAATTCTATTGGTGGGCTCAAAAGTTAGTGTAAAACGCAGTATAATACTATGTTTAAGTAAAACGTAGTATTATAATACGTTTTACACTAACAAACAAATGTCAGTCCTGCAGAACACTTATTTGGTGGGCCCAAATTGTTGTAAAACGCAGTATTATAATGTGTTTTAGTAAAACGTAGTATAATACTGCGTTTTACTTTAACGGCCAACTTTTCGAATTCAGAGTAATGAACAGAGTATTCGAAAATGTTGTCACCTGTAGAAGCGGCAGAAAACCACATATGTCCACCTCGGTGCCCAGGTTCGCCCGGCACATACTCTTGTACATGTATGCTAGAATAGTAGCACCCCAGTTGTACTGGGGTAACTCATCTAGCTGCCGCAGATGATGTAGAAAGCGCACTCACTAGATTTCCCGAAGTGTTCGGAAATAAGACACCCCAAAAAAAAAGGAACAACGCCAACCTCGTGTACCGGTCAATATGGAGATCCTCTGTCTCGCCGGTAATGTCGGGGTGCAATACCTCCATATGTTGTCTGATAGCTGTCACAAAAATGCGATTGCCCCCTTTAACTGTAGCCTTACCCTATAGTCTGAAACCAGTATACTGCCCCAACAAATCCAAATACCGGGGACGCGTCATAGCTCTCATATACTAGGGCAGTGCAACGGCCAGTCCATCAACACCCAACCTATACAAAACCTGAACATCCTGAAGCATGATGGTGGCCTCTCTAGTGAGCAGGTGAAAAGTGTGCATCTCCGGTCTCCACCGCTCTATCAACGCCGTGATGAGAGACCAGTCGAGCTACATCCGCCCAATCTCAAAAATCCTAATGAAGCCCGTAGCATGCAGGCGATGGACTACGCGGGCATGGAAAGCTCTCCCCCTCAAAAAGTCCCACAAGTCGTCCGGTCTCCTGGCGCGGAGAGTCTGATCCAATACATGCCCCTCCCATACATAGGCGGACCTATGGTCGCCCTGTAACACTAATACCTGATCCGCGGCTGGTCCAGGATGCACATGCGGTAAGTCCATGTCGTCTACTGCAATTTAAACAATATTAATTGTGTGTTAAGTTTAAAATTTTGTTAGTTTTATAAATTAAATAATTAATTTTTAATTGGACAGAGTAATTAGCTATGGGTTCCAGGCTCGATATTTGAGGTCCAGTAGCACCAAGCTATCCTTAATTCTTTTGTGTGTCAATTTTAATATTTTTAGAATTTTGTTAGTTTATAAATTGAATAATTAATTTTTAATTGGACAGAATATAAAACTGTGAGTTCCACGCTCGATATTTAATTTGACAACATATATTAATTTGTTAGTTCTGTTAGTTTATTTTATAAATTAAATAATTAATTTTGTAAAGTGTAATTGGATAGAGTTTGTAGTTAGTACATACTTAAACTACAGAGACTCTACGCCAAAAGGCTCTATATTTTACTACGCTAAAAAGCTCTATATTTTACTATGCTAAAAGGCCACTATTCTTTAAGCAAATAAATAATCTAAACTAAATAAAAACAACAAACATATGAACATAACATTCACGAAATTACATATAAAACAGTAAAAGATATTTGTGAACAATTTCATTAACAATAAAAATAATTTCTCAAGTTTTAACTATTTTTTTAAAATACTAATAATTTAATCCAGGTAAAAATAACATACAAATTTAATCGCAAACATAACACAAATCAACGTGGAAACACATTCAAGAAAACAAATATGCATATGCTCTACGAGTTTCGACATAAACTAAATCGAAATACCTCGATTTATCTTTTTTGAAATATCGGAAATTTGAAATTTTGACCCCGAAAGAAGGAATCCAAGGCTTGGGTTGTATGCAGGATCTATGCTCTTCACTTTTTGTGTGACGGGTGGGGTCCAAGAATTATTTTTTTTTAATCGGGGGGTGGGGACCAACAGAATGGTGGGGGAGGTTTTTAAAAAAAATGGAAGATCTGTCATGGGGAAGAAGAAGGAGGGGTTATATTTTATTAAGGGAAAACGTAGTATTATATTACGTTTTCCTTAAACGTAGTACTATACTGTGTTTTCCTATAAAAAAATTAATTTTTTAGTAAAATGCAGTATAATATTGCGTTTTATGTAGAAATGTAACTTCTTCTTTTTTAACTGTATAAACGTATTTTAAGTACAAAAATACGTCATTTCAGTTTCGGACTCGTCATTCCCTGCGGTGTGAATGAAAACAACTCCAAGAAAAATACTTTTTATCCCATTAGCATGCAGTCCCTCAACTATTCCAGAACAAGAAAATGGCATTGTATAGTTGCTCTCAAAATAATAGCCGAAAAAGTGTATTTGCGTATATATATATATAAATTCTATACACTTTTTCAGTTACCAAATATAAATAATTTTTGTGCGCGGGATAAAGGTGAAAAAAGCTCATGCCAAAATCCATGTAAAAATAGAGTAAGATGACATTGACACCAAGAAGGTTAACGTTATACTTAGATACAAAAGTTTATTCAGTTTATAAGATTATGTTGGATAGACTTTTTAGAACCATTGTTTAAATTTTGACCTTATTAAGAAAAGTCTATGGGAAAAATAGCCGCATGTTAGAATTTTTGAAGCACACAGGTCAGAAGTCGAAAAGCGGTTCTCGCAAAATTTTTAAGCACCAGGAATTCAGCCACCTCAATGTTAGAAAAATTATGGTCATCCGTCAAGATTTGCGGCAAAATCATGACGATCATTATATTTTTCTGTATTGTGGGTGAAAATTTTAGTGATCATGATCATAGTCAGGAGGATTTTGTCACAAATCCTTACAATCATAATTTGGTGAAATTATGACGAACATTCTTTAAAAATTGCGCCGGGCTATTTTTTTAAAAACTTTTGTTGCCGGAGTCAAAAGATCAACAATGGCACAAAAATATCCTATTTGTGTCATCCTTCCAAGCATATTCAATTTTTAATTTACAATGAACCAAACATCCATTAGAAACTCCATATGCACTAAATAATTTAATGATTAATAATCTTTGTATTAGAATCTCTACGTTATAATACTTGCCGTATTTTCTCCACAAACCAAACAACCCCGAAGGTTATTATTATGGCTTAAGCTAGGAAAGATTATTCTGATACGTTGCAAAAAGAAAAGTAGAATTTAATTGAGTATAAAAATAGAATAATGAGATATTATGGATAATTGGATATCTTAATTTCCAGCGGTGTCATTGTGTTTGGTTCACGTGATCCTTTTTCCGGTTAGTTTAATAGTCTCTTTGGCCAAGTTAAAGGTTTTTTTTATTTTTGTCAAAAGTATTTTTCTTAAAAAAAAGTTGAGATTTTTGACCAAGCTTTTTGAAGGGAAAAAAAGTGTTTTTGAGTAGAAACAGAAGCAGCTTATGAAAAGCAAAAAAAAGTAGTTTATCCCCAAAGGCATTTTTGAGAAAAAATACACTTAAAATACTTTTTAAAAGTTTGGCCAAACACTAATTGCTGCTCAAAAGTGTTTTTCAAATTGATTAGCCAAACACAAACTAATTTTCACCTGAAGTATTTTTTTGAAAAACACTTATGAAAAAAACACTTCTCCAAATTTTAAAAGTTTGGCCAAACAGGTTATAAGTCAGTTAACAAACAAATCAATTGATTTTTGTGTCCTTTTATCAATTATCATTGTCCTAGCATTTCTATTTTCTGGCCACAAGTTAATTGATTCCAATCTCCATAAGGTCTTTTGTTTGGACAACCCCCTTTACCACCTACTGTTAATTCCTTCAATTTTCTACATTTATAGGTGATGGTGGGTGCTTATTTTCCTGATTCCTAAGTACTATTTGCTCTATTTCAGAACCACTAGTAACCACCAATATTATTTTTCTAACTTTGGTGTACAGAAGAAAAGATGGAAAACTAAATGTTCAAAAATATTTTTAGGTATTAGAAAGTCAATGGCCCTATTGAGGGATTTGGACATTGCATGACCGATAAAAGAAAAAAAACGCCCCCTACCAGATTTTTTTTAGACGGAATGGCCTATATGACACCTATACTTGTATCATTTTGTCATGTCGGTCCTCCTACTTCACTTTTTTCATCCAGATACTTCAACTTGTTCAAAATCTATATTTTAAATCATTCTGACCGTGTGTATCTCACTTGGATGATACATCATATTCCATGTCATTGCTTGACGTGGATGATACATTATATTTCATGTCATATCCCTTCTCCATTCACAACCAGAAGGTGGAGGGAAGAAAGAAGAAGCTGGGGAAGGGAGAAGCGTACATCAGAAAATAGTTGCCTAAGAAAACCTTCCAACATCATTGTTTAACAAAAAATCTGAGTCTTTGGTTAAAGCTAAAAAGAAATTCGGGTTACTGATAATCAAGAGACAAAAATAAAATACTTTTGAGAACGATGGTAAAAAAAACAAATAGATGTGTATTTCAATAAATTCTCAATAGTATTCCGTGTCCTTACAAATGATGATACTTCTTCCTTTTATAGATAATTCTAGGTAAAGGAATGAAGCCTTAGCTTTAATGATAATCATGAGTAATAAATGACATTAAATAAGCCGTTATACAATCATTCCTATTAAATACCAATTTTGTAACGTATCAAGTATTTAATAATGAATTTGGACTCCTTTCTGTCATCAGATCTTTGTTTTCAATGCCTTCTAATCCGTTGGCTGTAAACAATTTAAATTGGTACGAGACTCGTATCTATACGTCGTCTCGTGCCTATTTAAATTCTTCTTCTCGTGGTTGTCTCCCTCCGTGCCTCTTAGTCAATTGTTGCGATTTGACCATTTAACTAATCCACGTGTCATGTCACATCATCTTTAATATAAATTCAGTTTT